CCCCAATTTCTGTCTTTGGGGCACAGTCACCTCCAGAAATCTCCTACCAAGGGACTCAGAACAGCAACAGCAGGAACAGACTCCAGGATTTCCTCCAGTTGTGCTTGCTGGTGCCCCCTTCTACCCAGAGATCAGTGCTGCATATAAGGTCTGTGCCCATAGGTAGCGGTATGAATTGTGCCTAGAAATAAGTACTGCTGCATGGAGGAAACCTTTGTGTGGAGCAGCCCTCCATTTGGGCAACACTGGTTGCCAAGTAAGTGTCATTGTGATTTGTTACTCATTACGTTGGCTCCCCGTGAAATATGAAGTTGTATTGAATGTCTCAGTTGTAATCTCCAGGATCCTGAAAAGACTTGGCAGAGTTAGATGAAGCAGTGTCTCTCTCATGGGAATGATGTACTAGAACAGCTGCTTTCCCCAGAAAGAATGAAGATGTCACTTTTGAGCCTGAGAGTGAAAGTGAATTGAAGAGGGGGGTCCTTTGTAGCTTTTGAGATGTTCTCGATCTTAGGTGGGAAGGTTGGAAGCGCTAGGGCCTTGTGGTCTGCAGAACAGATCCCCTGCTCACAGACTCATCTCACCAAGGGAAGAGGAAGGAGCCTGATGAATACAGAAGCGAAAGGAAGTGTGGCATAAAGAATTCAATAAAATAGAGAGAATTTAAATGTTTATGAATGATGGGTACCTACAGTTTGTTACTTCTCTGTATTTTTTTTTTCTACAAAAACATCTGTTTTTCAGAAGTGCAGAAAGGTCTGAATCACTATAATGACATCAAACATTAAAAGTTGAACATCAGGCACACTCTTTGGAAAAGCTCAATCTTACTCTAATTCTATAGCTCAGCCAGTGTCAAATATGCTTTTTGAAGCCGTTTGTCCCCTTGTAGGCAGCAAACTACTCTGGTACTTTTTTGTTAATAGGTAGATTCATGGAAGAAACCCTCATGTTGATGGACTCAGGATTCAGCTTTCATTCATTTTGTATCCGTCTTGTATTTATCTTTCATCTGTTGAGAGAAAAATATTTGCTTGTTGCTATGTGAAGGACTATTACACAGAAATTTGACTTCTGAGAAGGTTTGCTGGCCATCTGTGGTCAATCTAGACATCTGGTTGTGCTCCAAGAAGATCAAGTGGAAAGCCAGGTCTCCTGTTCTGCATTTAATTATTGCTAAGAAGTTACAATGGGTGCATTGTGCTGCAACCTTTGCAAGTGTCACTGGCGATTAGACTGTTGCAATACTATTTCAGTAACACAATATGAGGCTACATCTAAGATTTATCTGTAAAATACCAATGCAGAATTTGGCAGCTTGGTTTTGGTTTTGTTTCCAGGACACATTCCTCAAAGAACTCATGATGTAAATACTTGCTGTTCATTCTTCAAGTTGCTGGATGGAGTTTTCCTCTTGACAACCTGGTACTTGTCTCTTGGCCAGGCATCGCTCCTTTTTGTCCTGAAGTGCCATGGCAGAGGTAGAAAGTATTAAAAAACTTATCTGGAAATACAAAAGAGGTTAAACCAAGAGTATTTTGCCCTGAGGATAGCAGCCTTGGTCCTTGTACTGAATGCTGGATTTGAAAGACAAATTTATTGAACCCAAATATATTCAAAGGCCTGTCTATTTCTTAGCCTTTCAAGAGCATAGGGAGATTTGCCAGTGGGGTACCCTCAATAAAATTGGTGGATGTTTAAATAATCTCCAATCTAGGGAGGGTCAACATGGCCTTTGTACATCCACACAAACCTGATAGCACTTTTGAAAGAGGCATAAAGTCACATGAATAAAAGGTGTTTCACTGGTCATTTAATTTTTCCAGAGACTTTCAAAAGACTTTTTT